GGGGGGGGGGGGGGCAGAGGGGGTGGTGTTGGATAGTGAAATGGCATCGGGAATGCCAATGCTGGACTTAAGACTCCTCTAAGCGAGAGTGACAATTTACTTCAGGGGACTAAGTTTGGTGTCAAAACCACTGGAATGGCCCTCAAAGTATAAAAGTCACGGTCAACGTGAGGTCAGGTCCCACGACAACAAAGGTTCAGGTAGCAGAGGTGGGGGTGGGGACGGGGGTGTCCTGACCAAGCACGAGGAACGCATGGAAACTACATCCTCACAATTGGAACAGGAGCAAAACATACCTGGCCCTCAGGATATCCAGCAAGGCTGTCAGAACCCATGGGCTCTCCACCCCTCTGCCTAGTGTCAAAGAAACCTCTGAGAATGAGATGGCCATGGCAGATCATGGGTACACGGATAGGAAGGGTTTAGAGGGATATGGGCCAAACTCAGGCAAACGGGACTAGATTAGTTTTTAAATATCTGGTCAGCATGGAAGAGTTGGACCGAAGGGGCCTGTTTCTGTGCTGCACAGCTCCATGACTCCATGACACAATCAGACTGGACAAAAGAAGGGGAACAAATATTCAATGAGAAGCTACAAAGAATTTAATTGGAAGAACAAATCAAACTTGAGTAGTGCTCAAGAACAACCAAAAAGGAATGGAGGCACAAAATTGACCAAATCATCCCCCAAAGGGGTGGGTACACTGGTTTGAAATACCAAGATGAATTTTCCCAGCCTATCATTCCATTACTAAATATAACACATATGGAATCAAAATCCAGTTGGAATAGTTCAAAATAAAATATTCAAATAAAATATTCCCACATAGAATAATACAATAGAGTCACAGAATGATACGGTTTCTCAGCCCATCCTCATGCCAATTTCACTTCTGTACAATGCAGTGCTCTCAACTCTCTGCTCTGTCCACTTGGCAGCAAGTTTTTCTCTTACAGTGCTCATCCAATTTCCTTTTGCAAGTTGGGATTATTGAATTGTAGTAATTGGTCCAGCTCAGAGTTTGAATGCCTTTAGTTGGACACTGCTGACCATTCTTTCTGATAACATTCCTCTGACTGACTGTTGTCAATATTTTGTGATATGTTGGACATTTGCTGAACTTGCTGGGCCTTACTGTATTCTGCCAATGTACTTAGAGAGTGGGTTGAGATACATGCTGCCCCTCTATCAATTTGTCTGTTGAATCAATGTATTTTCTGCTGCCAGGGCAGCCTTGGGGAGGGAGTTGGCATATACTGTGGTGGACTTTGGCCATAGACCACTCTTGCCAAGCTGTCTTGGCCCATCATTTGCTTTTCAATTCCAGGCCTTGGGCTTGGTCCTGGGTCTTATCCTCCTCTGTTCCTGTTCCTATCCGATGAAACAGGCACACTGACTGCCCTGTCCGGCTATACGAACGTACCCACTAATCAGGAGCAGGAGTAGGCCCTTCAGCCCTTCAAAGCTGTGCAGCCATTCAGTAAGATCTGATCCGACTGATCCACATTCCCAGTAACCTTCCAACGCCTTTTGCTTAGCAAGAATCTATCTTTCTCCACCTATTCAAAGACTCTGCTTCCACTGCCTTTTGAGCGAGAGTGTGAAAGACTCAAGACTCCCCGACTGAGAGAGAGAGAAAAAGAAAATTCCTCCATATCTTGGTCTTAAATGGCGGACACTTATTTTGAAACCGTGACCTTCAGTTCTAGATTCTCACACAAGAGGAAACATCCTTCCCATGTCAAGACCGCTCAGGAACTTGCATGCTTCGATCGGGCCACCTCCGATTTCCTTCTAAACTCCAGCAGACGCGAGCCCTTTGGGTCTCCATGTGGACAATGGCAATGGGTGATGCCCCGAAAGCCACAGAGATGGCACAGCCACATCCCGAACACAGAGGAGCACCAATGCAGTTGAGGACATGCGGGCACGACGTGAGGTCCATTTGATGCACAGACCCCCACCTCCCACTTCCCCCGTGGGTCTCCAGTGTCTGACCAGACCCCCAGGCTCGCGCTCTGAACAACCCCAGGGTGCACTGCGTAATAAAACAGCCGTGCCTCCTTGGAAGTCTCTTTACATCTCCTACCGCCACCCACCAGGTCATGCAATGTCTTCCCACCAAACTGGCACTGCCCAGGCACTCACCAATCCTACTGTGATCAGACCGGGCAGCAAGCAAAGCCATTTTTTCTGTTTTTTTTTCCACTGAAATTTTTTTAATAATTAAAAACTAAAGCATGCCTCCCAACGCTCAGAGCTGCTCTGGATTCTTTGTTTCTTTGAAGTCGCAGCAACGCAGAAATCAAGTTAAAAAGTAAACACTTTGCCATTAATCACAATGTCTGAAACAGACAGTATTGAATGTGCATGGGAGGAAGGTGTGTGTTAGATATTTCGTGGGGCTCCTGATTTATTTCCATCAACTAGGCAAGATTCCTGGGCGTGGACTCTGAGGAATGGGTGCAGTTTTGGGTGCAATAGGCAGGTTTCGCACACCAACGTCCAACACTGCTGCCCAATACCTCGTGATGGGACTAAGTTGTTGATTAACTGTAAACGATGTCCCAGACTTGAGGGGCCCATATCCAGTTGGCTGTCGTGCCCAGTTCCTGCCTTCAGATGGTGACAATATAGGACACAACAAGGTAGCAACACTCAGCAAACAGTGGGACTCACAGCCTCAGGTAGGGACATTCAGCCTCGCATTGAAGACTAGTGGCAGTGGGCAGAACACTGCCAGATGTTTTTGGGTCAGCCCTGTGCATTGAAACAGGCGATCGTCACAGGCTGTTTACCTGATGCTGTGCAAAACAGCTTTCACTGTCGGCTGTAAAAGTCTGGTCACTTGGGCAGGAAGGAGCTAGCACCATGGGACATTCAGTGAAAAGCAAGCCTGGTTAATTAAGCTGATAATGTAATGTTTCCTGCGTCACACTTTCTCTCACACTCTCTCTCTCACACACGCACACGCACGCACACACACTCATGTTGACACACACATTGCAACATAGAAACACACTCTCTCTCTTCATGCAGACACACACATTGCTACATAAAGACGCGCACACACACACGCGCATGCATGGACACACACAGGCACACAAACACACACACTCACACACACACACACACACAGACACACACACACACACAGACACACACACACACACACAGACACACACTCACTCTCTCACACACACAATTTGACATACACACTGCAACATAGAGACACAGACACACACTCTCTCTCTTCATGCAGACACACATATTGCTACATAGAGACACACACAGAAACACACACACACATGCACGCACACAGACACACACACACATACAGACACACACACACACGTTGACACACACACTGCAGCATAGAGACACAGACAAACTGTATCTTTCTCTTCACGCAGACACACATGTTGCTACAGAGACACACGACCCCCCCCAAACACACACACACACACACACACACAGCCACATATACAGGCACTTTTCTACTGAAGCACTACAGTGAAGTGCGTTGTGAATTTGGTGGATAAAGGGGATGGGTTTTATAATTTATGCTCCAATGCTGAGCTTTGGGAGAAGGAGGACAATTTGGAGAAGTTTGGCAGTGGGGCATGAGCTGTGAACACCTAGGGTATAGGAGAGAGAGTTGTCAGCCATTTTAGTAGAATCCAGTACTTAAGAAGGACATTTAAAGGCAACTCACCACCCGGTAATGTACAGTGTGTTTACCGGAATCCCCACCCGGTAACGTACAGTGTGTTTACCGGAATCCCCACCCGGTAATGTACAGTGCGTTTACCGGGATCCCCACCCGGTAATGTACAGTGCGTTTACCGCGAACGCCACCTGGTAATGTACAGTGCGTTTACCGCGATCCCCACCCGGTGACGCACAGTGAGCTTACCGCGATCCCCACCCGGTAACACACAGTGTGTTTACCGCGATCCCCATCCGGTAATATATAGTGAGCTTACCGGAGTGGCCAAACATGGTTGCAATACACTCGCCCGAGTAGAAGTCAAAGATGGAGAGGTTCTTATCGGAGCAGCTGGTCGCAATGAAGAACCCCGAGGGATCGATCTGCACCTGCAACAAAGGCAAAAGACAATTAATCCTCGCTACGGAGCCTACAGCACGTGAGCGTGTCGGTCACTACACAACAGTGAGTACCAGCCTGGGAGTGTACAGTGTTGCTCAGTCATTACAGACAGGCAGCGTCACTCTGTCACCATACAGAGCGAGTCTCAGTCTCTGTATACAGAGGGAGTGAATGTTGGCCAGTACACACTCTCCTCACACTCACTCACCTCCCCACAAACTCTCACCCTCCACTGACACTCCCTTCCCTTTACATTCAGTCACCAACTCTCACTCCCCTTGCCACACACTCCGCTCCCTTTTACACCCTCACCACACACACCTCCTCCTCACGACCCAAATCGCCTCGCTGCACCTCTGGGCTAGCAGGACCGAGAGGCGCAAGCCAACATGTGGACTGCCGCGAGGGTTAACCTCGTCTGATGCTGTAATACTGTGACTCACAGCTTTACGGGAGGAATCGGATTCCATGATTAATGACCTTCACTCCCCTACAGGACGCAGGAGCTGAGAGCTCCTCAGTCTCAGCTGCTCCCCTTCTTCTGAGAGGACAGCTCAGACTTTGTCCTTCTGACGGAGAAGGTGAGGCTGAACACCTTGTGGCCACTGGCAAGGAGCCCTATCCTCCCATCCCCTGGGCAAGTGTCAGAACAAACCAGCCGGTGAATCAGGGATACTTCATGCTATATTTAAGCAGAAGAGCCCTTCAACTCAGAGTCTGCAAGCTGGCAGGTACACAGGCACTCACCTTGATGAGGGTCCCATCTTCTCCCTGAGATCCCTTATACAGCTTCTTCTGTTTCCCGTTGCTGATGTTAAATATCCTGCGAAGGGCAAAGGAAGAGGGCACATCCGTGCCAGGTAACAATAAGGCTATGGCGCACATTCAGGAGAACAGGCGGGCACCAATTCACATTGGATTCAATCACACAGTGGTGAGTCTGCATCTGACACTCATCAGGTATACCAGGCAGAGCAAAATAATATGGTATATATTGGTGTTACATTGAGGGGTGTGGGATATATCGGCGTTACAGCGAGGGGTGTGGGATATATTGGCGTTACAGCGAGGGGTGTGGGATATATCGGCGTTACAGTGGAGGGTGTGGGGTATATCGGTGTTACAGTGAGCGGTGTGGGGTATATGGGTGTTACAGTGAGGCGTGTGGGGTATATCGCTGTTACAATGAGGGGTGTGAGGTACATCTGTGTTACAGTGAGGGGTGTGGGGTATATTGGTGTTACAGCGAGGGGCGTGGGGTATATCAGTGTTACAGCGAGGGGTATGGGGTATATCGGTGTTACAGTGAGTGGTATGGGGTATATCGGTGTTACAGTGAGGTGAGTAGGTGGTTTGTGTAGTGTTACCGTCTGCAGTGTTAGAGATAATTGTGTGTGTAGTGAGATCTGAGCTTGTTTTCAGTGCCTTCCCTTTGCCTGTAAACGCACAAGGTCAGCTGCAGCATGGCCCTCTTCAAACTCACCGAATGCTTCTGTCCTGACAACCAATGGCAGCGTATTTGTGGGTGGAATCCACATCCATGTCGTACAGCGTTGTCTTTCGAACAACGTGGTGGGTTCGGGTGAACCGCGTGCCTTCAGCTGTCTGGTGGGATTGAACGTGAAAGAATTAGCAACAGCCAGACCCCAGTCGGGTCCCATGGTATTCATCTAGATCCCAGCCGGGATCACTGCTGATCAAGTCAGATCCCCGATTTAATTTGGAATTGATAGATCACATTTCGCTCAAATTTAACGTGGTGACCTTACACTAAACCATAGGTACACGGAGGTTAGCAATAAACGGAAGTTGATTTCACAAAAGAAAAACCAAATGTAGAACACAGTTTGAAAGCTCTTAAACCACTCAGAAAAACAATCTGAGAGATAGTAAGTACTGCAGATGCTGGAGTCAGGGATAACACAGTGTGGAGCTGGAGGAACACAGCAGGCCAGGCAGCACCAGA